TTGGCCATTCATCTCCTGGTTGGTTGTTAGCCATTGCTATTCACAAATTGGCTACTGTGTTCACCTGCAAACAGTCAACACTGGGCATGTTTCCTTACTCCACACGCCTCTGTTTACCTTGCAGTAAATAGGAACCTGGTTGTAAGTCAATTGGTGGATTGTTTTTCCGGGGATAATAATCCCTTAAAAAAAAATTTTGTCTCTTAAATCCACGACTGTTTGTGGGACACTGCTGTGCACAATTGGCTGCCGTGTTTTGCCCACAAAACCTATAGTCAATTCACTTTACAGTATATTCTGTGAAGCGCTTTGAGATGCTTAGAAGACATGATAAGGCGCTATATCAAATGCAAGGATTATTATTATTAGTAGTAGTGCCGGAGATGTTAAATGTCCAAACAGAGTGATGGGACCTCGATTTACCATCTCATTCAAAGGACTGTGCTTCCCCAACACTGCATTGACATATCATCCCATATATGTGTGTGTACATGTATGTATGGACATGGACACTGAAGGCTCATCTATGAAGCCTCCCCTGAATTAGGAGCCTGAGGATACTTCTTGACTGATTCGTAATTTAATAAGGGAACCACTGACACGTGCTGAGCTGCAACCCTCCATCAATCATGTTCTTCAGGAGTAGAGGAACAAATAGGGGAGAACATTTTGTGGGTGGTGATGATGGGAGTAAATAACTATCTAAAGTAAATTATATTTACATTGAGAACTGCCATACTTCCACATTGCCCAAGAAGGCCATTGGATGAGGTGTCAGTTCCTTGATCTCTCAGGTGGCGGTTCAAAATAAGTTCAAAATAAGAGGTAGTAAATGATAGGCCTATGTTTAACACACATGCAGCTAATACAGAGTTTACATAGCAATGACACTGCGCTGACACTGACTTGGGGAAATCAATATAAATCTACAGCCTTCATATCTGTAAAACCACAAGCAGGTGTGAGTACTGTTCCAGTAATACAATGCTGTGTAACATCACATCCGAACTTTCTCACTTATCTATGTCAGTTATTGGCTGAAGAACTATCAGCAAAAACTAACTTTATCAGCCTTAACAGTAATGCTATGCAGACAAACACTTCCTGTTCAGGAGGAAAGAAAATAACCAGCAGAGTTATAAGCAAGTTCCAGACTTGTGGAGTCCTGTAGCTCAATGGTTAGCGTACTCACCTTGCAAGCGAGACACCTGGGTTCAATTCCAGGCAGGGCGAAACCTTGGGCAAGTTTCCTAACTCCACACGCCTAATAATAATAATCGTTCCAAAACAAAGCAATAATAAGTTGGTTATTTTCAATCCACACTATTTGTGGGACACTGCTGTACGCAATTGGCTGCCACGTTTCGCCCACAAATATACAGTCAATTCACTTTACAGTCTATTCTGTGAAGTGCTTTGAGATGTCGAGAAGACGTGAAAAGCGCTATTTCAAATGCAAGGATTATATTCTCACTGACGTTGAAAAGTGTGAGAGATTTACAATATCGCTAGAATTTAATAAAATAACTTGTATTTATATGGTGCCTTTCACACAGGTAGCATCTCAGAGCACTTGACAGTGGCAGACCTTGACGATTTAAGTTAAGCGACTTAAGTAGTGGAACCCACTTCCAGGTGAAAGTGATCACTGTACTTATGCCCTGGCACCATGACAGAATTGTTGCTGTTGAAGAAATGGTATGCAGTTTCATAGCATCTTGAAAGTTCTTTTAAAAAGATCGAGGGTACTTTGTATAGAGGGAGTTCTCCTATATTATTTTTATTACAATATCAAAGATTATTTTTCTTTTCTTAGAATCTAGTAAGAATGCATTTATCTTTCCCAACTTGGGAGGACACCAAAAAATGAAAGTATTGATCAAAACATTTAATTCATTAGCTCTCATAATCGTATCATGCTTGTCTTGTGACAAGCCTCCACAGGGCCAAGCCAAACCACTCAGCAGTACCTAATTTACATGACATTTGAATTTCTTGTTTTTGTAGAATATTTATTATTTTACTGCTTGGAGAGCAAACGTACTGTTTTTTTCCTTTTTGAGTTAAGGTCAAAGCCCATGTAACACCCAGTGTGGTGGTTTATGGTAATTACCACATCCTATGGTTTTCAAAGATTTCCATTGTTCACATTTTCTGTTCATGAATTTACATTGGCTGAAGCACTAACTGAACCATTTAGAAGTCAACTTGATGTAACAACAACAAAATTACATTTGTATCGCGCCTTTCAAGTCGGGAGGACGTCCCAAGGCGCTGAGCTGGGGGTCGGTAGCTTGGTGCAGGAGAGGACACAGGCTACAGAGTTCTGGACGATCCTCAGTCTATGGAGGGAGTAGTTGAGAGGCGGATAAGCAGGGAGTATGTGTAGTCGAGCCTGGATGTTATGAATGCATGTATGAGGGTCTCAGCGGCCTGCGATGTAAATAAGCACATTACTTCCTCATTACATTTTTGTAACTTTGTTTTGTAACAAAAGTAAGTACATCGCTGTCATTAGAGAAATCTTATCTTTTGAGTGTATTTCATGCGCCAGGGCTTTTTTTCCAGCAGGCAACCAATGCCACAGTATAGGTGTAAGGATTATTATATTATTATTTTATTTCCAAGCTCAATAGCTCTAGATTTATATAGCACCTTCCATGTTGGGACAATGTCTCAAAGTGGTTAAATTAAATTCAGGGGTGACATCCATCCATCAAGACTTTGAGGTAGAAAAAAACAACTTTAAATGTCACTGTTTGTCTAACTACAAGCAAAGCTGGAAATGCAACTGGTGGCGTGTTCTTTCAAATCAACATAATATATAATTATCTTTGCATTTGATATAGCACTTTTCACAACTTCTAAACATCTCAAAGCGCTTCACAGAATAGACTGTAAAGTGAATTGACTGTATATTTGTGGGCGAAACGCGGCAGCCAATTGCACACAGCGGCGTCCCACAAACAGTCGTGGATTGAAGTGACCAATTCTATTGTTTTTTTCACTCTTGAAGGATTATTATCAGGCGTGTGGAGTAAGGAAACTTGCCCAAGGTTTCACCCTACCGGGAACCAAACCCAGGTTTCTCGCTTGCGAGGCGAGCGTTCTAACCACTGAGCTATAGGACTGCGCCATGAATTGATTCTGGTGTACGATGTAACGAGCATCGCACACGATACGATTCGCGGCAAATCAGTTTTATTTGAGAAAAGTTCATCCCGGCTGTATTTTCCGCGAGCCTGAAACGGACTCTTTTTAAGTCTTTTGGTCTGGTGGGTGATCTCTGAGCCTCACCAATTGCTGACTGAGATGACAAAAGAGTGAGGGGGGGGGGGGGGGGGGGAGTGTGAGAGTGAGAGAGGGGAGTGTGAGAGAGTGAGTGAGAGAGAGAGGGAGGGAGAGAGAGAGAGAGGGAGAGAGTGAGACAGGGGGAGTGTGAGAGAGGGAGGGAGTGAGAGAGAGTGTGAGAGAGAGAGAGAGAGAGGGGAGTGTGAGAGAGGGAGTGAGTGAAAGAGAGAGTGAGAGAGAGGGGGGGAGTGTGAGAGAGGGAGTGAGTGAGAGAGAGTGAGTGAGAGAGAGTGAGGGAGTGAGAGAGAGAGAGAGGGTGAGAGACAACTTTCTTCAGCTGAACGTGCGCAAAACTGAGGCCCTCCTGATTGGCTCGCGTCCGCGCCTCCGCACCTCAGGCGCTGACAGCAGCAGCATCCAAGGCTGCACTCTCCACCTCTCAAAGTCAGTCAGGAACCTCGGGGTTCTGTTCGACCCTGAGCTGTCCTTTTTTCCTCATATCCGCACCACAACTGGCACCGCCTTCCATCACCTCCGGAACATCGCCAGACTATGGCACTACCTCACCCCTCACGCTGCTGAAACTCTGGTCCACGCCTTTATCACCTCAAGGCTGGACTATGGGACTTCTCTCCTCGCCGGCCTTCCCGCCACCTCCCTCCACAAGCTGCAGGTCATTCAGAACTCTGCAGCTCGTGTACTGTCCCGCACCAGGCTTCGGGACCACATCACTCCCACCCTCGCTCGCCTCCACTGGCTCCCCATCCCCAGAGGATCGAATTCAAGATCCTCATCCTCACCTACAAGGCCATTCATGGCCTTGCACCCTCCTACCTCTCTGACCTACTATCCCCCTACCTACCTGCCCGTACCCTCCGTTACTCTGGCTCCGGTCTGCTCCACATCCCCCGCCCCAACCGCCCTACCATCGGTGGTCGGGCCTTCAGCCTCTCAGCCCCGAGGCTCTGGAACTCCATCCCCCAGTGCCTTCGCCGCCTCCTCCCTTTCCTCCTTCAAGGCCGGTCTCAAGACCTTTCTCGTTGACCGAGCCTTCAGCTCCCCTCTCGACTCTACCCTCTCCTCGCTCCCTCCCTCCCCTCACCCTGACCATTTCCCCCCTGCTTGGGTCCTGACCCAACTGTACAGCGCCTTGGGACGTCCTCCCGACGTGAATGGCGCTCAATAAATGGAATCTTGTTGTTGTTGTTGTTGTGTGTGAGAGAGAGAGGGAGTGAGTGTGAGAGAGAGGGAGTGAGTGAGAGAGAGAGGGGGAGTGTGAGAGAGGGAGTGAGTGAGAGAGTGAGAGAGAGAGGGGGAGTGTGATAGAGGGAGTGAGTGAGAGAGAGAGAGAGTGTGAGAGAGAGGGAGTGAGTGAGAGAGAGGGGGAGTGTGAGAGAGGGAGTGAGTGAGTGAGTGAGTGAGTGAGAGAGTGAGGGAGTGATTTAGAGAGTGAGAGAGAGTGAGGGAGTGAGAGAGAGTGAGGGGGAGTGTGAGTGAGTGAGAGAGAGGGAGTGAGTGAGAGAGAGAGTGAGAGAGAGTGAGAGAAAGAGGAGTGTATGTGAGAGAGAGAGAGAGTGAGAGAGAGGGAGTGAGAAAGAAAGAGAGAGAGAGTGAGAGAGCGAGTGAGAGAGAGAGTGAGAGAAAGAGGGGGAGTGTGTGAGAGAGAGTGAGAGAAAGAGGGGAGTGTGTGAGAGAGAGAGTGAGTGAGGTGGTGGGGGGGGTTCAAGCTGCAGGTCGGTGCTTCAAGCTCCTTAAACTAAGGCAGTTCAGTGTTTTTTTTGTGTGTGTGTGTGTGTGTGTGTGTGGGTGTGTGGAGGGGAAGAGAAAACTCCCAAATAACAACTTTCTGCCAAAATCTCCCATTGCCTGTGGGTGGACCGGGAGGGGAGGATGTGACCGGGAGCATGCGCGGTGCGCTGCTGGGGGTGAGGTTGGTGGAAGGGAGTGACAGTGTGTGTGAGAGAGAGAGAGAGAGAGAAAGAAAGAGAAGGAGGAAAAGAAGAAGAGGAAGGAGGAGAGGAGAGTTGCACAACCCCTCAGCAGCTGATAGACATGGCCCTGACCCTGACCGTCTCTCTGCTGCTCGGGGCTGTTGCTCTGCTGGTCTGCGTTGTGCTGGGAAGGAGGCGCAGGAGGTAAGGCGCTGGAAGGCGCTCCTCCTGTGGGGCAGCTTTTCCGGGGTTGGGGGGAGGGGAGGGGAGTTGGGGGGGGGGGGGGGGGTGGGGTGTAGAAGTGTGGGGTGGGAAGAGATGGACGACTTTCTTTGCAAGTTGTGGAGTCCTGTAGCTCAGTGGTTAGAGCACTCGCTTTGCAAGTGAGAGACCTGAGTTCAATTCCAGGCAGAGGGCGAAACCTTGGGCAAGTTTCCTTACTCCACACAAAGCCTAATAATAATCCCTCCAAAACCAAAACAATAATAAATTGGTCATTTTCAATCTACGACTGTTTGTGGGACATTGCTGTGCGCAATTGGCTGCCGCGTTCGCCCACAAATATACAGTCAATTCACTTTACAGTCTATTCTGTGAAGCGCTTTGGGACGTCCTCCCGACGTGAAAAGCGCTATATCAAATGCAAGGATTATTATTATTAAGTTAAAGTAAAAGCAAAACTACTTTGAAGGGCGGAGATTGAAGCTGCATCTGCCCCCACCAGGAATCTAACACATCACAGGCTGTTCCCACACACTGACTGACCTTAACCCATATGCCAACTGTCGCTTTACCTACCGGTCGAGCCCTCAGCAGTTCCAGCTTGCAAGAGCGAAATAATATTCCTCGCGTTCGATGCGCCGCTTTTCACGCCTTCGAGACGTCTCAAAGCGCTCGGCAGAACATACTGCATAGTGAATTGGCTGTGCGTTTTTGTGGGCGAAACGCGGCAGCCAATTGCACACAGCAGAGTCCCACAAACAGCCGTGGACTGAGTGTCAAAATGATTGTTATTATATTTTTTTTCTTGAGGGTTTATTATCAGGCGTGTGGAATAGGAAAACTTGCCCAAGGTTTCACGCTGCTGGGAGTCAAACCCAGTCTCTCGCTTGCGAGGCGAGTGCTCTAACCACAGAGCTACAGAGCTCCTGACTCCTTATAGACACTTGCATTCTAATCTAACTGAACTAGATATCTTATTGCAAGTTTTGTGCAAGTTTCACATCTTTTCAATTTTGTGTTTTAACAAAATTATAACAATAACAATCCTTGCGTTTGATATAGTACCTTGTCAAGTCATGGAGATATCTCAAAGTGCTTCACGTGATATATTGTATTGACTGTGTATTTGTGGGCAAAATGCGGCGGTCAGGTTGCACACAGAAATTCCCTACAAACAACCATAGAGGGAGTGACCAATTTTATTTGGGGGATTGTTGGCCAGAACATCAGGGGAAACTTCCTTCACTTGTCGAATAGGGCCATGAGATCTTTAACATCCACCTGAACAGTCAGATAGGACCTCGGTTTAATGTCTCATCTGAAGGAGAGCACATCTGAAAATGCAACCCCCCGGCCCCCCACCAGCACTGCATTGAAGTGTCAGCATAGACTGTGTGAATCCAAATCCCAAAGTGGAGCTTGAACCCACAACATTTTGTCTCAGAGGTGAAAATTGTTGGATAATTTTCCGTTTCTACCTTCTTTGTATACTTCTGCAATTGGATGTTAGTTCATTCAAGCAATAAACACAGTCACACAGTTCAATCACTAAGAGTACATTTATTCAACTAACTCAGGACCAGTCAGTTCAGTCTGGTACAGAGTTAGGGTCGTAGCTTCACCAAGCTGACGACCCCGTTGTGGGATTCAACAATGGCATTTATACAAGTATGGGGAGGATCCTTCTCCTCCAATCGTTAGATTTGGTCATAGGTGACAATGTGGTCGAGACATAGGATGTATATTGGGCACTATCCATTGTCTCATACTCCAAGGCTGCAGTTAGTCTGCGCATAGATCTGTTGATTCGGGCTTATTTCCTTCATGGAACCAGTCTGCGCATAGATCTGTTGATTCGGGCTTATTTCCTTAATGGAACCAGTCTGCGCATAGATCTGTTGATTCGGGCTTATTTCCTTCATGGAACCAGTCTGCGCATACATCTGTTGATTCGGGCTTACTTCCTTCATGGAATCAGTCGTAACTGGTTCCATGCAGTTGAGCTGCACGTTTCTAAGATCAGATAACACAGTCTGCCAAGCTTCTCATTGCAGGGTTTACTAAAGGTTATAATTTGTGCCTTTTTATCCATCATTCCCTCCTTTTATAATCTTTATTAACATTGCCATGTGCCGGTACAGTCCCCAATTTATTTTCTCGGATGCCTCTTGTTGCCTTGTGACAATTTAAAGATGCATCGTCATAGATGGGATCAATCGTACCTTGCTTTCATGGGTCAGAATAGTAATCCTCCATATCATCATCGTCTGACAGATTATCGTCTGACACCACCGCCATCGTAAGTGATGGTGTTACCCCCACACACTTAGTGACGCACACTTTAACAAGGTGAATAAGGACACAAATCCCCAGTAATAATACCAGTAACACAACCCCTGCTTTAAGAACCCAGGCTCTCCATCCTTCAAATAAGGACGCCCACCAATTAGATATTCCACTTGGTTCCTGTAAGCTTTTTACCTGATCTCGCATATGCTGGACAATATTTGTGATATTCTCAGTGCACACCCAACACCCTGTCACATTTGACGCCTTTGCTGCCTTATGTGCAGCTAAGAGATATGTATTCCTCCCCAGACTTGTTACCAGTCCAAACCATAGTCCAAAACTGAGAATCCGTAGCCATGCCATCTTGCTAGTTGCTCCTTACAGTGGTGATGTCTTCTTGCAGTGGCTAACGTGGACCCAGGTGTTTCGTTCTGCAATCCGTACTGCTGTTGGTGTGGTTAGTAGCAGCTGATATGGTCCTGTCCACTTTGGTTGATGCCAATGCTTCCTTTTGATGTCTTTAATCAGTGTCCAATCTCCTGGCTGCAGTGGGCATGGCTCGGTGTTCTCATTCAGTTCCTGGGGAGGTAATACGTTTCTCATAGTCATTTTATTCTGAAACATTTTTTTCATGTATCCTGCAAGTCCGGCCTCCTCCAATTCTGTACGTTCTCCCAGCTGAGGCATATCCAATGGAATCTTGCCTTGTTTACATTTTAGTTGTCCTTGTGGGTTATTGCGTAAACATGTTATACATTGTTGACAAAAATTTTGTAAATAAGTGGTTAGTCCGAATGTCGTATAATGTTGGTCTATCATTGTCCTCATCCCTCCTTTTGAGACATGGCATTTGCCATGGCTCAATCCTGCTGCAATGGGAAACAATGATCGTGGTAAAACTGGCAGTCCAGTGTTTCCAACCCATATGCCGAATGTGTTTAGTTTGCATCCCATGTTTTTCCATCCTCGCTTCTCAAGGGTGCCTGCCTCTGATTGCATTGCTTTAATCAATGCCATGTCAATCGAGGGTGGTGTTTGTGACACGAATACTTCTGCGAGGGGCACTACCTGGGCAGTTTTATCTGCAAAGGCATTTCCCTTTGACACCAGGTCCTTCGCAGAAGTGTGGGCAACACACTTAAGTATCGCTAATTGTTTTGGGAGTTGTAATGCATCAATTAGGTTCAATATTAAATCAGCATGGGAAATTGGTTTCCCTGTGGAGGTAACCATACCCCGATTTCGCCACTGTCCAGCAAATATGTGGCAAGTGGAATGGGCATATTGTGAGTCTGTATAGATATTAACAACTTTTCCCTTCCCCAGTACGCAAGCTCGGGTAAGCGCCACAAGTTCAGCCATTTGTGCCGAATATCCTGCTGGGAGTCTGGCTGCTTCTATTACTGTGTCCTGAGTGCATACAGCGTAACTGCTTTGGGAACGGCCCCCCGTATCCTTTTTGCATGAACCGTCCACAAAGTATGTCACCTCTGCATTCTCAAACCTTGTATCCGCCAAATCCACTCGCGTCGCCACTGACTGTGAGGTTTCTTCCAAACAGTCGTGCGGGCTACCCTCGGAGGGTACCGGCAGCAAGGTTGCCGGATTCAATACTGTAAACCAAGCTGTATCAGGTCGCAAATTGTTCAGCAAGGTATTGGGGTCGGGTACACCTGGGGTCCGGGGAATCACTGCCTTATTTACAGCCTGTAAATCCTGAACCAATCGCCACCCTTGTGATGGCGCTACCTTTTTTACTGGGAACAGGGGGGTGTTACATGGAGAGTCAGGGCAATCCACTATGATGCCCTTCTCCTTAAGTTCCTTAATTATGGGTTCAATTCCTTCAATGGCCTCTGGTTTCATAGGATACTGCCGTTGGTATGGGCGGTGTGTTCCTTTTGGTATGATTTTAATAGGTTCAATCCCTTTTATTAGTCCTACGTCAGCTGATCCTTTGGACCATAGAGCATCAGGCAGAGCATTCAACTCCGCCTCCTGTTCTATTTCCACTCCTAACAGTCAGGGAACCATCTTCCCTGAGTGCATCTTCCTAACTCTTTCACATTGATACACCCAATTCAAACATTGTGAGTAGAGACCTGTCCTCGGGGAATACCATATTCCTGCATCCTGAGTCTCTTCCCAATCCTGTGCTTTTATCCCACAATCTACCAGGTTACCCACTTGTTGCCATGACTTTTTGCATCTCTTTGCAATTGATACATGGGGGTTCCCTTCTCCCTGGTATAGCTGATCATCTAACGGTTGGAGTAAAACTTTCCCTCCCATATCAGTTGCATTCCAATATATACATTGAATCGTTAATCGTGTGGAACTTCCCAATTTGAAATGTCTCTCATATGGCAACGAACTTCCCCTTTTTCACGGTACCACATGGTACAGTGCAGATCCTCAGGCAGGTGGAAGTCACTTTGTTCCATGACCCGCTGGTGTGCCAATCTAAGCAGTTCCTGTTGGAATTGTCCTGGCCCTTCCTTTAACTGTAGGGCATAATAGTATTGTGGTTCCCCCCTTTCTTGGATAATTAGGGTATCTTCAATCTTTTTTTTGTACGTAACCTTAACTGCTTCCCATCGGTCGTCACCCATAGGTATCACTCCTAACTTGAGTTTAGTTAACACATCTCTCCCTAGTAAATTAACCGGGCATGTCATTGATATAACCACTTG